TTGACTTAAAAGTTCAATATTGAATCTGAACTGAACTTTTTTTAAAAAAAGTTCAAGTTCAAGTTTAGTTCAATTTTAAACTGAACTTGAACTTGACCAAAAGTTCAGTTCAGTTCAGTTCATAGAAACACTATATTAAACTTAGATAAAAGAATAACTGAATATAAAGAACTTGATACTAATTCAAACTACAAATATATATTTAATATTGAATTTATCGATAATGATTTCATAATTCTTACAAAAACTGTTAACAAAACATTATTTATAAAAGAACATGTATTCTACTCTAATTAGTTTTAAACCAATTAGATTTTTTTATATAAAAAAAATAAATCAAGAAATGAAAACTTTAATTTCTTTAATTCATGGTATTGTTAGCAGTTCTTTTGTTAATTATATGAATTTAACTGGACATTTATTAACTAAAAATGATTTATTAACCAGATGAGAAAAAAAGTTATAATTCAAAATATAAACACATATATTTTGGTTTATACAAACGAAAATAATTATTTAATTTCATTTTTTAAACATTTAAATTTTATTACTGATATTATTAATAATATTCAAAATTTAAATAATAAGAAACAATTAGCTAATTATTTGGATTTATTATATGAAATGCATGTTTTAGAACTTACTGAAGAAGATTTTAAAGAATTTGATGATTAGTTACTTTATTTAATAAAATATATTTTTATATTATTATTTTATTATATATTTAAATAAACTAAAAAAAATCATGCAAGCGATTTTTTCTTTTGATCTTAATCCAAAGTAGCTTGAGAGAATCGCTATTGCAAGCCAAGCCAGTGGCTGATAGTGATGCATAGCTACTAAAATAAGTTTTTAATTAAAAACTATATATATTTGCTAGTTAGTTTTATAGACCAACTAGAAATTTAATTAATTAATAATTTTTTTCATCATGGTAAATTGGAAAGATATATTTTTGACTTTTGAAATAGTTACAAATTGGGAAAAATACAAGAATTCTGATAAACCAAAACTCAAATTAAATGAATATCATTTGATCAAGATTAATTTTACTCTTTATCTTGAAGTAAAAATACAAAAAGAAGCAATCACTTTTCTTTGTGATATTAAATATTTTAATCTTATTAAAAATTATATCTGGTATTCTTATAAACATAAAATAGATAATATATATTATATTCAAACATGTAATCAAAATAAAATAGTTCAATTTCATTAAATGATATATCCTAAATAGAAAATAATTGACTATATTAATTGAGAAGGATTGGATAATCGAGAAATAAATTTATAAAAAATAATACCAAATAAAAATATTTTAAATTGTAAATTAGCAAAAAATAATTCTTTTGGATATAATAAAATTATTTTTCACAAACAAAAAAAAATGCTGGGTATTTTGTTGGTCTGAAAATAATAAACATAGAGAAAAAAATTTTAAAACAAAACAACAAGCGATAGAATTTAAATTAAAACATGATAAAATCACTAGAAATATGAATGGTTATTCTGTTTAAATATCAATTAAAATTTAATATAAATTATATTTTTCTAGTAATTATTAGCCAAGCTATGAATTTAGACAAAATAACAAATATAAATATATATGAGAAGAAAAAAAAGAAAATAAACTATAAAAATACTTCACAATAAAAATTACAACAATTTTTACAAAAGTGCCTAATATTTTTACTAAAAATTTTAAAATTTTATAAAAATAAATAAAAGCTAGCGAAAACAAGTAACCAATTCTAGTCAAACCAACCCAAATTCTTAAAATAATAATTAATATTTTTTTTTTTTTTTTAACATCTACTCTCTTGGGAGCTAGGATTTTTATTCAGGTATATATAGCGAAGGGTTCTCTAGGGACCCCCTACATTAGAGAGTATATACTAGCCACACGTACACTTTTGGTGTCTAATTTAAGTAGTCCGCCTATACATCATACAGGTTCTATACAAAATAATAATTAATATTAAATTTTTAAATATATATATTATTGTATTTAAAGTTAAAATAAAAAAAAGTATTTCAAAAAAATAAAGAATGAATCTTTTATTTGAAAGTGAACAAACAATATTATTTTTTTGTATAAGACAACAAGTATTCAAAAATAATATATATAAAAACTTTTGAGAATAAGTTTACACCATAGTACTATTTTCCAAATATATAATTTATCAGTATTTTTTGTTGATAAAAATTTTTTGAATTCATTTTTAAATACTGAAAAGTAATCAATTAATGTAGAAAGTTTTTTAATTTCAATTAAAAGCTTTTTATCATCTTTAAGAATAACAATAGATGTTGTATTATTTCTTTTTAGTTTTTGTATTTTGTTTAAAAGTTGTTTATTTGCAAGTTTTAAATCTTTATTTTCTACTTCTAATGATATATAATCAGAGTTTTGATAACCTAAAAGTTGTTTTCTTAGTTTTTCAATTTCATCTTGTAGTTTTATATTAATAAGTGATAAGTTATTATTTTTATTTTTAAGGTCATTATTTTCTTTATTTAGATTAATTAATCTTTCTGATAAAGAAGTTGTTGTCATTTTAATTTATTTTAAAAAAAATAAGAATAAAAACAATATTTATATAAAAATTAAAAATAAAATTTATAAAAAAAAACAGATAAATTTAAAAATCTAATAATAGAACCTATAATACTAATCATTATTTTATCAAAGTTATATAAAATTTGTTCTTTCATTTCATTAGAAATATAATCAATAAATTTTTCTTCGTATTTTTCAATAAGTTTTTTTTTTTTTTTTTTTTTTTTTTTTTAGTTATTAAGGCCGATATTACGGAGCTTACTGCCTTTATTTGTGTTTTTAGTTAA